GAAGCGGCATGCTGCCGTGCAGTGGCTAGTGCACGATGTCTTGCGTGCCACGGGCGGCGCACAGGGCGATAGTTGCGGAAGTTATAGGTGTTGGTCTGGGGTCCTGTGCAATCGCCGGGTGACGGATGAGAAGCAGCAGTCTTGGGAGGGGAATGAAGAAAAGAAGGGATGCCAGGTCAGATCGGCCGGGCGACGCGGACAGGTTTGGCTGACAAGGCAAGCCGATTGCTTTTGCTAGGTACATGAACGAGACAAATGGAAGCGCAAGACCCTTCCAAGGAAGAAGGCTCGCTGGTGGGTTGACTTGCATGAGATTGCGTCCCTCACAGTCTGGTCAGCTTCATTGCGCCTGCCCTCGAGGCTGCTGCTACCCTCCAGCTCCTGTTGCTCCTGCTCCGGCTCTGCCTCAGTTCTGCGTCGTCATGTCGTCGTCGCCGGGGCACCAGCCAATAGGCAGCGACAACCGAGCTTGGGCGTAAACATTGGACTTATGGTGGGGACCTGCCCCCCGAAAGTGCCCCTCCATGACAGGCACAGGGGTCGTTCCACGGCGAATCAGGCGCTGGAGGTCCACCAGGTGGGCCAACAATGCCTTGATCTTCGGTGCATCTGGAGGGCCCGACCCAATCGGCCGTGACTTTATCTTCTTCTTTGTCTGGCGTGGACACGAGGCAATGGACCAGTAACAGCCATCACAGCAAAAACAGAAATGATGAGAGATCAATACTGATGTTGTCTTGCTCGTCCAAGTTCACCATCTCTCGACTCTGTGCCATCACCAACATGGGCGTATCGCTTTATTGCGCTACATTCGATCCGACGCGCCAGCAGCATGCCAGCAGACACCAACACCCAGTCAACCAGTTCTGCTAATCATCTTGAACGCACAGCTGCCGTTGGATGGCAGTGTCAGCAATCTTGAATCGCGCGTGCCTTCGAAATCGGTTTACGAGGTCCGAGTCATCAGGACCCGTCGGGTCTGACATGCTGCATGCTTTCGCAACTGTGTCAAGGCAGGGAAGAATACCACACGACCGCTACGAGACAAAGCTGGCTCGCCTAAACCATGGGCTGACGTGGTCTCCGAAAATCAAGCTTCTAGGCCGTCGGCAACGCCAAAGACCAAGTAGAGGGCGCTGTACCGACCTGGACGTAGCTTCAGCGTCCATGGTAGTATCGCGGTATATAAGCGCACCCAAGGGCAGGCTTCGCTGCGCTGATTAAGTATCGATGACTTGGGTGCCTTGCTCAGAAAATGGCTCTTACTGGTCATCTCGAGTACAATCTTGCTTCTAGCACAATGTTGCTTCTAGCAATGCAAGTTGAATTGTCTGCTCCAATCGCTCGGCACGCCTGTATGGCAATCAGCAGATACCAAGGGGCTGGATCCGTGAAGAAGACTCTTGAAAGTCAAGCATGCGCTTTTCAACGTTGACAACAACTCGACAGATGAGCCAAGTGCACAGCTTCATGGACGTGACACCTCTATAATGACGCAAGGCAACAGAGTCGCCAACGGCGGAGGTGCAGCACACGTTATAGAAGTGCTTGTACTGTATGAGACTTATAACAATTCGTCAGCATCCAGTAGGTTCGCTATATACACAGATCCAAAATGCAACCCATGATCTTCATCGCTCGCCTCAGTCACTCCACAGTGACCGGCTCCGCAGTATTCAGATTTCGCCGTGTGTTCACCTTGACCGAAACTATGGCGCTTCGGTGAACACCACACCTGCTTCACCTTCCGCCCCCCCACCCCCTTCTTCTACCGCACCCCGTGACAGCCCCCAAAAGCCCCTGTGCCCTGTTTTGGTCAGCTCGTCTCGTTACCCGGAACAGAAACTACGAGGCTGATCACACGAGCCCTGAACGTCAAGTCACCACCCATCCTATGCCAGGCCGCATCCCTGGAACTCCCAGACATCGGGACCTGCAGGCGTGATACCAGATCTCGATGCCATCAGATGGGAATTCACAGAACCTGCTGAGCCTCGTGGGGTGCAAAACGGCCATAACGGCCATGGCATTTCCACTTTGCGGAATGACTGCCTTGTCTCACTGAGCCACCCTCTTCCCGGTGGCGAACTCTGAGTAATACCGATTGACGGGCAACAGGGCAACAGGGTGAGCGCCTCTGCCTGGCAGGCAACCGAAGGAGTCACGTTAGGCAGTCGGTCGGCGTCCTCGCCGTAGGCAACGAGGCTGTTCGCACGAGGAGGCAGCCTCGCCATGGCAGAGTCACAAAAGGACACGCAGCAAGAGGTTGTATGATAACTGTGGTTGTGATTTCCAGGATCGCTCTGGCTGGCATGCCAACGCCGTGTATACTGCATGCCGGCACATCTCGCTGTACGTGACACTAGGTGATGATAGACCAATCTCGAGGCATCCATCCTGCCTCCGGGAACCATCGAAGTGGTGTATGCAAATGCTCCCTTAACCTGAACGCCCCTGATGCATCCCGCAAAGTCCATGCAAACTAGTCAAAGAGGAAGATAAAGCCAAAGGAAGAAATGAGACCCCCAACATGCAAAGAAGGAAAATGAGATACCAAGTGAGGCCTTCTTGTACTGTCCGTTCTCCCATTAGATCTCCTCCGCAGGCAGGACAAACCTGACCTTCTTCGTCGGCTTTGCAGCCTGTATATCTACTGGCCGAGTCCGGTCCTTCTTCATCGCCGAAGCGAGCACCTCTCCAGCCTCGATGTCGGCGACCATGGTGCTGCCGAGCTCGCTCATGGCCTCCTCTGTCTCCTCCTCGATCGACCAGACGTCGGGGCTGGGCTCACGCCAGACCTGCTGTGAGCGGCGCCGTGTGGCAAAGCTGGGCTGTCGACCGCGGCCTACTGGCCTCGAGCCACGAGAGCGTCCCCTCGGGGCATCAAGGGGCGACGAGGGAGAGTCCGAGGCTTGGCTTGGCTTGGACCTCTTGCTGTCCATCATGAAGTCTCGCAGGGTAGATGGGAGACCAAAGTGGTGGGGCGCGAAGCGCATGTAGCTCTCCTCTTCGTCGTCTGTGTCGGGTGTGGCCAGATCAGAGAGATCAAGAACCGGTGGGGAGCCCGGCTTGCTGAGGCCTTCGAGGCTGGAAGGGCTGACGCTGCGGACTATGTCATGCGATGAGTGCGGACTCTCAATACCGGCGTCAAAGTCAAACATGTCGAT